CTTTCTTCCTCCATCCCCCTTGCTCTAAAAGTACATAAATAAAACCTTTAAAAAATATCAGTTATCTCCAAATTAATCTATTAATTCAGTACACTTTCAGTGAAAATCACAAAAGTGAGGTATGTGTAATTAACAATTCTAAAATTTCTAAGGGAGAGAAAGATAAATTTGAAGATGAACAAGTCTCTCTCTCTCTCTCTCTCTCTCTCTCTATATATATATATATATATATATATACACACACACACTCATACAGTAATTTAGACAGTGTGGTCTTGGCACAGCGATAGACAGAGGAATAAAACTGAGTGCATTAACAGTTCCATGCATGCATTGAAACTATGTGAGGCCAAGATGACCCTAAAATTCGGTGGAGAAAGGATGAACTACTCAACAAGAGATATTTAGACAAAATCAATATAAAATTTGATCACAATTTCATAAGTTATATGAGAAAGAAATCCCAGGGTATTAAAGACCTAAATGTAAAAAGCCAAAATTTTAAGTCTTTAAAAAAAATTGAGACTTCTGGCCAAGATGGAGGTGTAGGTGGAAATACTGTACCTCCTTGCACAATCAAGTTTAAAGACGACAAAGGTTTAGTAACAAAAATGCAAACAAAGCACAAAAAATTGAACTGTACGGAAGTCCGACAACAACGAACCATTCAGCCAGACTGGTAAGAGGGGCAGAGTCAGCAGCTGGCGGAGTGGAGTCCCGGCAGGAAAAAGAGGCCAGACCACACCGGCCCAGTTGAGCAGATGGCTGTTGGCAGATCCCAGGGGTGGGGTAGCAATGGGCAGACCCAGCGAGGGTGGAAGGTGGCTGGCTGACCAAGGTCACACTTTCACACTCAAATAAAATAGGCGAAGGAGCAAGCAGTGAGACAGACCACGCAGGCTAGGGCCCCGGCGACGGGAATTAAAGCCTAAAAGCATCAACTGGAAAAACTTTCAGGGTTGAGGTGCTGGGAGAAGCTCCCAGGCTCACAGAGAGTTTGTTGGAGAGACCCACAGGGTCCTAGAGGGTGCAGAGGCCCACACACCCGGGAACCAGCACCAGAAGGGCCCAATTTGCTTCTGGGAAGTGGAAGAGGGGAGAGAGGAGAACAAACGCCATGCCCCTCTCTGACCCCACCCCCACACACAGCATCACAACCCAGCAACTCAGGTTGCCCCACCCTGGAGAACACCTAAGGCTCTGCCCCTCATCCATAACAGGTGCAAACAGACCAAAACATTATGGCTCAAGAACAGCTCAAAGCCCCAGAGCCAATAATTCTAAGTGACCAAGAGATAGCCAAACTTTCAGATGCACAGTTCAAAACACTGGCGATCAGGATGCTCACAGAACTGGTTGATTTTAGTCACAAATTAGAGGAACAAATGAAGGCTACACTAACTAAAATGAAGGGAAATGCACAGGAAACCAATAGGGATGGAAAGGAAACTGGGACTCAAATCAAGGGAGTGAACCAGAAGGAAGAAAAAAATTGCCAAACAGGAAAGAATGAAGAAACAAGAATTCCAAAAAATGAGGAGAGGCTTAGGAACCTCCAGGACATCTTTAAACGTTCCAACATCTGACTTATAGGGGTACCAGAAGGGGAAGAGGAACAGCCACGAGTGGAAACCTTATTTGAACAAATAATAAAGGAGAACTTCCCCAATCTGGCAAAGGAAATAGACTTCCAGGAAATCCAGGAAGCTCAGAGAGTCCCAAAGAAGTTGGACCCAAGAAGGAACACACCAAGGCACATCATAATTATATTAGCCAAGATTAAAATGAAGGAGAGACTTCTAGAAGCAGCAAGAGATAAGGGGACAGTCACCTACAAAGGAGTTCCCATCAGACTGTCAGCAGATTTCTTAAAAGAGACCTTATGGGCAAGAAGGGGCTGGGAAGAAGTATTCCAAGTCATGAAATCCAAAGACCTACATCGAAGATTGCTCTATCCAGGAAAGCTTTTATTTAGAATGAAAGGGCAGATAAGGCACTTCTCAGATAAGGTCAAGTTCAAGGAGTTCATCATCACCAAGCCCTTATTATATGAAATGTTAAAGGGACTTATCTAAGAAAAAGAAGATAAAAAATATAAACAGTGAAAGGACAGCAAACTCACAGTTATTAACAACCACACCTAAAACAAAAGCAAACTAAGAGGACAGCTAGATCAGGAGTGGAACCATAGAAATGGAGATCACATGGAGGGTTAGCAAAAGAGGAGTGGGAGGAGGAGAAGGGGGGAGAAGGTTTAGAAAATAAGTAGCATAGATAGTAGGTAGAAAATAGATAGGGGAGGGCAAGAATAGTATGGGAAATACAGAGTCTAAAGAACTTGTGACGCATGGACATAAACTAAAGGGGGGGAATGGTAGGGGAGGGTGTGTGCAGGGTGGAGGGGAATGAAGGGGGGAAATGGGACAACTGTAATGGCATAATCAATAAAATATATTAAAAAGAAAAAGAAATTGAACTATACCATAAATAAAGTGAAAAGTCGAGCCTAAGGGTAGTATAAGGTATTTTTAACACATAAAACCAATAAAAGGTTATACAGAGAATGAAAAAATCAATAGGAAAAAGACAAATGACCAAGTAGAAAAATAGGCAAAGAATATGAAGAAGCAAATCAAGAGAAATCATGTGAAGTGTAAAAAATGTGCAACTTTACATATAGTTGAGGTAATGAGAATAATACAAATTTAAAAGTTTGATGAGGCCCTGGGCAGATAGTAGAAACATCAATTGGCTGCCTCTCCCAAGACCCACCCCCCGTACTTTTCTTAAAAACTTTATGTATTTACTTTCAAAGATAGGGAGAGGAAGTAAGAAAAAACAGATTGAGTGCCTCTAGTGTGCTCCCTACTAGGGTCCCGGCTGGCAACCCAGGCATGTGCCCTGACTGGAAATTGAACTGGTGACCCTCTGGTTTGCAGGCCGGCACTCAGTTCACTGAGCCTCACCAGCCAGGGCTTGCCTATTAAAAAAAAATATGTTATGTATTTATTTTTAGAGAAAGGAGAGGGGACAGAGAAAGATGGGGGGGGGGACATCAGTGTATGAGAGATGCTTATAAGTTGCTTCTTGCTCACCCCCAACCAGGTAGACCTGACCCACAACCCAAGCATGTGCCCCGTCTGGGAATTGAACAGTTGACTGTTCCGTCAGCAGGCCAGCGCTCTATCCAGTGAGCCGCACCTGCTATGGCCCATTTATTTTTCTAACTTTCCAGGGGGCTCAGTGTAAGTAACTCCCGCTGCTGCCATCCTGGCCAATAGGGGAGCCTCCCCTGTGTCCCAACTGTAGTAACAGGTGGACAGGCTAGATTTGACACAAGGGGCAGATTGATTATTTCTGTGACTATCTCCAGGGTTGTAATGTGTATTCTCTGTCTAGCCCATTCCCCCCGCCCCAATTTTTCAATTACAATTGACATATTGAAACCAGTTCTCACTGGCTCATGAGAACAGATTACCTGTCTCTATCAACTCCATGTTTAATGTCAAAGTGGTATTTTGAAATCTCCCACTTTGGGAATACTTGTACCATTGAAATTAGCAAAGACAGCAAATTAGGGCTTTCCTCCACAGAACTGGTTTACCAGCACATTCCTGACTGAAACCCACATGCCTTGCCCTATCCCTTTCCTTTGGAATTGACCAGATCCCAAAAAGCCATTTGTGTCATCTTCCTTCCTTCTTTATGACAAATAGACATTCTAAAACTGACTATTACTGCAGAGGATGATACTTCAGTCTTCATTTTTCCTTTATTCTCCTTTCCTGTGTTGGGTGTCAGTGATGCCAAGATTAGAAGTCTTGGAAAGGTATTGCTGGTGAAAATGTGGGAAAAGGATGTAGGGATGTAAACTGGCACAAACTTTTTGGAAGGCAGTTGAGTATTACTTTGGACAATTTCTATTTGCATTTCCTAACCTGTAAAATGTGGGAAATAACAGTATCAACCTGATAAGAGTTATTGTGAAGATTAACACACATAAAGCAGTTAGAACAGTGCACCTAGTAAGCACCATGTGTTTGATGTGGGATTGGAAGTTGACAATACATGTAACAACCCTAGGAGTAGGTTGGGGATAGGGGTAGTATGAGGATTTTACTTTTATGTTTTTTTTAAATACTTTATTTATTTATTTGGAGAGAGGGGAAGGGAGGGAGAAAGAGAGGGAGAGAAACATCATTGTGAGGTAGCCTCTCAGGGGCCCCCTGCTGGGGACCTGGCCTGTAACCAGGGTATGTGCCCTGACTGGGAATAGAACCGTAGACCCCTTGGTTTGCAGGCCCACCCTCCATCCACTGAGCCACAGTAACCAGGGCTACTCTTTTATGTTTACATTTCTAAATTGTGTAAAGGGAACAAATTAAGCCAATTGAAAAATAATAAAGCAATTTAAGAAGTCTGGACATGGCTCGGTCCTGTTGTTTTCCTCATAAGTTCCTATTTATTAGGCTCCAATTGTCAAAGTGCAGGACGAAATTTTAAGAGTGTCCATTAATTTTCTCTTAAAGTTCATCTTTTTATTTTCTTAAAACTTTTTCAAAGATTTTGTTTACTTTTAGAGAGATGGGAAGGAAGGGAGGAAGAGGAAGTGAAACATCAACGCTGAGAGCCCCAAACTGGGGACTTGGGCCGCAATCTAGCTCTGTGCTCTGACCGGGATTGGATTCAGCGACCTTTCCCTTCACAGGCTGGTCCTCAACCCACTGAACCACAATGGCCAGGGCCCATTTATCTCTTGATACAGATCAAACGCAAACCTTTTTAAGACAGCAAGCTAACTCTCAACATGGCGCCATGACAAAGGAGTGCAGTTGGTTCCACTCCTTTCCCTTTCAGCCTCCGGGATGGTAGTGACACATTAACCAAAAATTCATTCAGAGACCTTCTAAAAATGGCAGCGCCCTCCTCGCCCCACCGCTGACAGACGGTGAGAGACGGACCTTCCCAACATGGCAGCGAAGGCCCAGGCGTCACATCCTGCAGGATGACGGATATAAAGGGCAGGATTTCCGCTTGCGTTCCTTTCCGGCGGTGACGATCTCCCCACGGCAACATGCCTGTGAGTTCCTTGGTGCAGGTCTTGGCGGAGATCTCGCTTTTCGTCCCACACGCTCCTCTCACGCTGATTTCGAGTCGTAGAGGACCCTCATTTGCCCTCCGCATTTCTAGGACATTAACTACAGGGACTGCAGAGGCCCGCGAGGCCCCCTGCATAGACGGGAGCGGAGAGGAGATAAGATGGCGGTCCAGCTGCGCAGAGACCAGGGGCGGCAAGGGGCGAGCTCTCCCCGGTGTGTGGCAGTGGGGGATGTTTTCGATCGTCCCATTTTCGTCGTTGGTTTCTAAATATCTACATGTCTGCCTCTCTTAGCTTGCAAAGGATCTCCTTCATCCCTCTCCGGAAGAGGAGAAGAGGAAACACAAGAAGAAGCGCCTGGTGCAGAGCCCCAATTCCTACTTCATGGATGTGAAATGCCCAGGTGAGGAGACAGCTTGCAGTAGTCGAGAAAACACAGGGTCCAGGAATTGGAAAAAGGTGCAGTGTGAGCTGTACCGTATCCTTGAAGCAGCCGCAACATCTTAAGATTCGAATGTACCAGATGGGTAAAATTTGGTACTTTAGGAGGAGTGATCCAGAGTGATTTCCCTTTAAAACCCCGTGTACGAACCCTAACGTGCGTTGTGTTAGGAAACTGGGATGTGTTGTGCTTCTGCTTGGTCACCAAGTACTTGTAGGGGGTCGTTGTCTTCTGTACTCACCATCCTTCTCTCCCAGGTGGAGGATCCGTGAATAATTGTTGGTTCCACTCCTTTCCCCTTTCAGCCTCCAGAATGGTAGTGACACATTAACCAAAAATTCATAAGTGGGGGCAGGTTGTCCAGATTATTTCTGAGTGGGCTTTAATGTTTACCTAGAACCAGGCAAGTTTTGAATAGGATGGTAAATTTAAAAAGTTTACATAGCGTGCATGTCTTAACAGTTACTACATAATAGCATATGTATAAATGAAGAACAGCATGGAAGAAATATAACCCTACTTGATTTTTTCCAGGATGCTATAAAATCACCACCGTCTTTAGCCACGCACAAACGGTAGTTTTGTGTGTTGGCTGCTCTACTGTCCTCTGTCAGCCTACAGGAGGAAAAGCAAGGCTTACAGAAGGTAAATGGTTTAACAAGGAGGATTTGGGCTTTGAATCTTATGGTGATAGAAAGATCATACATAGTGTAAATTATCAGAGTCTTGGAAAGAGGGTTGGATTTGATAGCCCTTTCCCCCAAAATATTAGCAGAAATTATATATATATATATGTGTGTGTGTGTATATATATACATATATAAACTGACTTTTTTTTAAAGAGAGACAATCATCAGTTTCTTGTTCCCCTTATGGATTCACGGGTTGATTGTTATGTGTCCTGACTGGGGATTGAACTTGCAACCTTGGTGTATCAGGACACTCTAACCACAACTGAGCTACTTGGCCAGAGCCAACAACATAATTCTTAATTTCAGAACACTACTGTCTGAAGTTGTGATTAGTGGATGATAAAAGCGGCAGCTTTATATGAGCTGTAGCCAAAACGGTCCTTAAGTGGCTAGGTATTGGGTAAAGGAACTAAAGAAAAGGTGTAGCTTTCTTGTGGGTGGATCATGAGGTATCAGTTCTGTGCGTGTGGGGCAAGGAAAGTAGGCTGCTGCTGTCAGCTAACTTGAACCATTTTCTTCCAGGATGCTCCTTCAGAAGGAAGCAGCACTAAAAGTACCCTGAATCAAGATGAGTGGGGAACCATCCCAATAAACACATTTTGGATACATCCTGTTTATTGTCTTGTAGTTTACTGCTAGGAAGTTCTTACCTCAAGTATTCAGGGACAACCAGAAGAATGGACTGCTAGTCATTGAGGGCAAGTAAGTAGCCAAGTACTTAAAAAGTCCATTTGGGACATTTCTGTCCAGCTGGGCACATTCAGTAAATCTTTAGAGCTTGATGAAAAAATGTGGTATACTGTATAAATGAGATATTTACTTTCACTTTTACGTTTTCTTATAACTAAGAACAGGAACTGACAGTTGGTCTTTGAAACACAATCCAACACACTACTTCAATACAAAACAGCTCAGGATCCTTTATTTATAGTTGTCCGAAACCTTGTTTGGAGGCTTAGGAATAAGGTGATTCCTGGTGGGTAAGTGCTAGAAACTTCGAGTTTCGTACAGTTAAGGAGACTTGTCCAAGTGGAGGTTAGTGCCTTATACTCCACAGCCAGTATTGTAGCCGACTCTGGGCTGGTGGGGGTTGTGGACTCATGAAGGGAGGAGGAGAACGAGTGGAGGTATAAGAACCTAGAAATAAATGGAGAAGGGAAATAGGTGAAAGGTGAATAAAACCTGGATATCTGAGATTTGAAGGAGATAAGGGTGGTGATTCTTTACCCGACTCTGGTATTCCTAGAGTTGGTACGTAAACAACTGGAATTGTCTGTATCTTATTTAGGAAGGCATTGTATGCTGGAATAAAACAAAGGAGACGTCAGTAAAGAAGCTGATTTGTCTTCATTGGAGGAAGGCCTTAGTAATATTTCACATTAAGTAACTTGAGAGTAGTTTGAAAATTTGTATTCAGTTATTTTTAGAGATACTTTCCTCTTCTGGCCAAAAGATGGGGCAAGTGCAGGTATAGACAAAATAGTGTGTGTTGTGCTGCTCACATCATCCTTAGCTATGAATTTGAGCAAAACTAGCCATTAGCTTAAGGGTTAGCAGTGATTTACACTTCTGAATGGTATTTCTTTGCCACATCTAATTTATGGTAGTTGTAACTTGAGTGGGGCCTTTGCTAGGTGATTGGGGTTAGAGAGGCAAAATCAGTTTCAGCTGCTTGTCTCAAATTAGATGTGATGAATAACTAATTCTCATCCTTATTTAGTTTGTGAAATACAAAGGCATTTTCTAAGTCAAAAGTCCATTACCTAGAAAGATGAAAGCTGTTGATGCCAACACTGCAAAGAGGGTCAAGAGGATCTGGTGAGAACCCACGAACTTTTGGAGGACACCTGAATCTTCACATTGGTCTATGCATTGGCCAGAACAAAAGAAGATGGTTATTTAATAACACAATCAGGGCAGATGGCTGGATTTAAAACCTTGTCACCATTAACAGATCTAGCAGAAGCACTCAATACCCAGCCCTCTAGAATAGTGATTTTCAACTGGTTGCGAGAACTTTTAAAACATGCAATGCCTGACTGCTTAGACAGGGCCACTGACCTTTTTTCCCCCTTAGACTGTCATTTTTTAAAAAATGAAAACAGCCCACAAATAACGCTCCTTTTCTATTACAAAAACATAAGCGTGTAATTCTAACACTATCACTCCAGCACACTATATGACATTTTAGGTAGAATATTCCAATTAAAACTAAATTATTACATCCACATTATTACCCTACCAACCAGTCAAACAGATGTTACTTGTGCTGGATTGTATATATATCTTTTTGGTGTGCCACAGAACTTTTAGCAATTATGTGTACCATGAGATGAAAGGTTGAAAATTGCTGCTCTGGGAAATTGTTCAGCTTCTTACCAGAGTAAAGAGGTAAACCATACTTGGCTCCAACTTTTTGGCTTTTTCTTATTTCCAAAGTAATAAACTCCAGTTCTTTTTTCTTTTTTAATATTTTATTTATTTTCAGAGAGAGTTAGAGAAACATCATTGTGTGGTTGCCTCTCATGTTCCTCACTGGGAACCAGCCTGCAACCCAGGCATGTGCCCTGACTGGGAATCGAACCGTGACCCCTTGCTTCACAGGCCCGTGCTCAATCCACTGAGCTACCCCAGCCAGGGCAAACTCCGATTCTTGAGCCTCTTAATTCTTAGCTTACAAGAATATTTAAAACCTCTGCCATCTGAAAATGGCTGTTACATTTCCTGTACACTTGAGCTCCAAGTGCTATAACTTCCCTTCATTGCATTAGTGGCAATCTGGAGTGATAACGATTTCTAATTCTGATCCCTGTAACATTTTTTTGGATTCCTAATGACCACTTAAATCCAAGGGCTCCTTATCCTTTTTTAGAATGTTTCTAGGGGACATTATGATATGTATAAAACCTTGACCTTAAAAAAACTTTAGACTCCTGAAGGATATTTGGTGTCTGCCTTTGGTTATTTCAATTTTTTGGTGTCTAGAACTCCATTCGGCCACTGAACTCCCTGAACTTACAGTTCTTCCACTATGAATTGTGAGCAGGCCCTCATACCTAGTTCTTATTCTGCATCTTGAGTATAGGCCCTCTTCTGTGGTCTCCTAATTGGTTTTAAACCTCTCACTTTACTCTTTGATAACTTCCTCACTCTGAATAAGGTTGTTTGAAGTGCATATATTAGCAAGATAATCCCTGATCAGGTCCCACTATTGAAAGTCCAAATAAAATGGGGTGTATTATTTTTGTAGCATCCCACTGTTAGATCTACACTGAATTAATTACTGTTTCCCCAGCTGGGCCTGGTCTTCCTATGATTCTGCAGTAGGAACCATGCTTGGAATATACTACTAGGTTCTCACATGCTTGTCAGTGAGCTGAAGGTTGGCTTAGATGTTTGCATCTGTTCCTACCCACCATGGTTGTACTGTTCCCACTGATCCCTTATCTCTGAGAAGTGCAGAGATTCTTAACTTTTTTTTTTTTTGCCATGGGTAACTGGCTGTCTGATGACATCTATACACCTTGTGATATTTTTAAGTGCAAAATATACATGAAAATACAGGGAACCAATTATATCAAAAGGTAACCAAAATAGAAAAAACCTAATTTGTGACAATTACAGTTAGCAAAATGTTAAAAGCCCTAATTTGTGATACAGTAATATATCTGCTTTAGTAACAACAAAAGTTTAACTTAAGGTCTGATAACTGCAGTTTTAAAAAAAATTTTGAGATGTGACAATTGGAACATGGAAATATCTTGATTCCATTGGTGACAGACTCACATACTGTTTATACTGCTGTGGTTTGTTGCCTGTATTCATAATGAGTTTATTAGAATCAACTCCACTTAAAAATTACTCTGATACAGCACAGACTGCACCTTCTAGTGGGGGGCCTTGAACACCTCAATTCTTAAATTCTAAAAGGGCAAAATACATCTACCGTTTGAGTTATAAGAATTAAAATGCAGCCCTGGCTGGCTTAGCTCGGTGGATTGAGTACAGGCCTGCGAACCAGAGGATCGCAGTTCGATTCCCAGTCAGGGCACGTGCCTTGGTTGCAGCCCAGATCCCAGCAATTAAATATTTTAAGAAAAGAATTAAAATGCATATAAACACGCTTAGGGTATTTGTTGACCAGTACATAACCAAGTGCTCGTATAAATAATGTACTAAGGTTCAGCCTGATTCACTCCTAGTAATTAAGTACTGTTTCCTTTGAGGGATGGACAAGTGGAAGTGATAAATATAAGGAGGATGGTTCTGTGCACTTAAAAAAAGTTTTTTAAAAATTAATATTTATTATTTTTTAAAGATTTTATTTATCTTTAGAAGGGAAAGGAAGAACAGGAGAGAAACATCAATGTGTGGTTGCCTCTCGTGCGTCCCCTGCAGGGAACTGGCCTGCAACCCAGGCATGTGCCTTGACTGGGAATCGAACCTCTATCTTTTGATTCGCAGGCCCGTACTCAATCCACTGAACTGTACCAGCCAGGGCTAAAATTATTTTTAGAGGGAGAGAGAGAGCTTCCACTTCATTATAGTCATTGCATTCATTGGTTGCTTTTTTAAAAAAAATATTTATTTTCAGAGCGAGGAGAAGGGAGGGAGGAAGGGAGAGAAACATCAGTTGGTTGCCTGTTGGGGAGGCAGCTGGGTCTCCAGGGCAACTGGGGACCTGGCCTGCAAGCCAGGCGTGTATCCTGACTGGGAATCAAACCAGGGACCATTCAGTTTGCAGGTGGATGTTCAATCTACTGAGCCACACCAGCCAGGGCTATTCTTAAATATATGTTAAGTATCACGTATAACTAGTGTTAAAGTTATCTGAAGATCGTGTTTTGAGTGGGCTTATAAAATTGATCCATGCCTCAGCTACTTTTGAATAGTTTTGATCAAGTGGCTGAATGTTTTCCATTAACTAATTGTAATGCATTGTCTTGTTCCTTCTCTAGATTGAAAATAGGAGCCCCCAGTGCTCACCTGCACCAGACTTCTTAATAGCTTTCACTAGCACAGCCTCACTTTGACTGGTGAGCACACAGGAAATATTGATGAAAACAGGTGACGTCATCCGCTGCAGGGAAGTGAAGTTGACCACTCTTACAGAGTAGATAGCGAGGCCAGGTATGAGAGAAGAGTGACTATGGCCAGGGACCACTAGAACTGGGGAGCTGGGGAAGACCTTGGAGAAAAGATAAAATAGCAGTTGCTTGAAAGAAAAGTCAGTTTGTATCAGATATTCCAATCTTAAACATACACAGTAACACACCTGGATTTCTAGTTCTAGCTAACTGACAAGTCATTTATTTTTTCACACTTAGATGTGTTGAAAAAGGGATCTGTGAGAATAAAATGGGCTTCAAAAAAGTTTTAAACTAGAATTCTAACGATTGTTTTAAGATACCATTGGTGTTATCTTCAGCTAATAACCTACACTTTGGCCCCTGACATTGTAAAAGGGACACAGTTTTTTCATTCTGTTTAAGAATCTCTTATGGTGAATTTTATCAAATTATTCAGAAACTTTAGACTGGGAATCAAAAATCTCTTTTTCAAAACTGTTGTTTTGGTGCAGTTCTCAACATACCTCTAGCTTCTCAAG